TATTGTATATTTAATTCCTCGTTGTTTATCTCCGTCCCGTTCTCGTATCTCGTGCAGGTTTAAACAGATATTTCAGCGGCAGAAAGCTGTTGTGAAAGCAAAAGAGACGATGGAAAAACGTGCAAAAAAAAAAAGAGAAAATGAGAGAGAATAAGAGAAAAAGGAGGATGAAATCTTGCCGAAGATGGCATTATTGCTCTAAATTCCGTTTCTATCGAAGTATTCCCGGCATGTTGCAAAATACGCTGAACAAAATCGATCGATCGACATTTAAAATATTGCAATTATTTAATAAAAGCATGTTTCAAAAAAAATCTAGAAATATTCTAGACTGGTACTATCTGTTATGGGATAATAAATAGATAGGAAAAATAGTATTGTATTTATAACTTTGGCAATGTATAACAAATTCTTTAGAAATGCAATAGATACATCATAAAAATGTATGTAGATAAAAAATATTTATATAAATATGAAATTTATATCTTTTAAAATTATATATATATATATATATATCGATTTACATTTTAATAGCATTGCTTCTATACCTGTTGGTTACGATAACATAGCATATATGTACATATTGGTAAACTATGTATTATTCTATCAGAGTATTCTGTGGTTACTCTACTCAAACAACAAGATCAATCCAATAAATTCTGTTGAAATTGGTAGAACCAGCTGGATACAAATGCTGGCAGAATAGCTCGCTTCCGCTTTTGAAACCACGAATGCCAATTTAGCTTGAGTCAACCTCACGCGTTGTTAAACAATATACATTTTTATTTGATTATATAACTCGTAACACAAATTGCATGTTATAACAATTCACAGTCGAAAAATTTAACATAAAAAAGCTGCAAATTTCAAATGGTTTCATACAGAACCGATGTATTTTTAAGGTATTATTACCTTGAAAATGCCGAATTTTTCTCAACAGACGTACAATTTAGATAATATCGCATTTACGAGTTATGTCAAATTTTTAATAGTATTTTGACTATATTGTATTTGCAGTACTTGGTCTGCGAAGGGCGTTGATGGTAGTTTCTGAGAAAGAATGCGTCGCAAAGGCGGCCAGAAGTTACGGGAAGGACGGGGGAACTGGCTTACTTCCGGTTCGCCTATTCGCGCCACCATCCGGCACGAGCTGCATTCTCACGCTCATCTACATACTTGGTCGTACATCAATATTCGGAGCGGTCGGGAAACGGGCTCCGCTTTGCATACTGGACCCCCCGCTCGTGTCATTTCATCTTTCGTAGGGATCCCAGTGGGACATCGCGTTCAGTGGATCCTGAGAAAGGAGTCGCGCACAAAATACACCCCGCGGACTGCCGCCCAATCTTCGTACGTGTCGATGAATTAACGAAGGAAACGAATCCAGCATCCGCGCTTTCCAGGGATCATAACGCGAAATAATTTTGCCGAAATATAAAATGTCGAAAGGAGAACGCATTTGATCACATTTTTAACTGTTATATTTGCGCCTGAAAATGATTCATATGTTTATAATAATTTATATTCCCTATTATATTTTGTTTTCTTTAATTTTTCAATTTGATTTTATTCAATTTAATTTTACTTAATTGGACAATTTATTAAAAATTCTCTAGATTAAGAAGATATAGAATACAATATCTATATCACTATTATAAAGTATTCATGCAATTAATAATTATTTTTCACTTCAAATTGAATCGATATCGATTGCCAGAATAAAATATACATACAACATGCGGTTACTTTCTCGCGAGGGATCGGTTCTTCCATTCTTCCTCGTAATTATCATGTTTCACGAAAGATCGCGGATGGTGGCACGAACGGTGAATGTGTACGAGCCTGGAAGATGGAATGTGGGTTGCGTAATTTAAATAATTCAGAAATGACCCTGACCCCGGATAGGCTACAGGGTGACCTGCAGCCGGCGATTACAATCACAATGCACCGCCGAGTTCTCAGGGTAAGACAGGTAGCACCGTCTGACCCGCATATATTAAATCAAAATCATTGGCTCTGCGGCTGATACACAAACTATATATACATATACGCATATGCGTATACATATATGTATATAAGTATATAAAAAAATATAAATACTTGGTAAGATGAAATGCATTTAGCAAACTTATTTTAATTATTTTTCTGATATTTTTAAAAACTGTTACAGTTAACTTTATATCCCCGAAAGAGCAAAGAAAAATACATAAAAAAATAGAAAATAACAAAGATGAAAAGAACAAGAAAAAGAAGAAATTAAGTGAATATCCAAAAATTCAATTCTAGACGACAATGGTTGCATGACCAGTTGCATCTTTCTCTTGCATCGCATTATCATTGTACTGAAAGCAGTAAACTGGACTTATCCGTCATGGTATATATAAACATCGAATATTTAACCGACATGCATTTAAATGGCCTGATTCGCAACATTAACATAACGGTAGGCATTCCAGATGTCAAAGCTTGACTGCGTCCTACGTTCAAGGGTACGCATCTCACCGAGATCCCACGGTAAGAAGTTAGACTGTTCGGTCTTGAAATCAGCGATTTCGAATATAGGACAGCCGATGCTTTTAAAATGATATGCAGGATGCACGGTGCACGAAACTCCGTGAGAAATTGCGGATAATCTGCCCGCTGGATCAAAGCCTTTTCGACAATTGGAGATATGCAAAATAAGATTTATTCAATATATGCAGAAGCCGTTTTTCTGTTGCACAGATCAATTGTAAGATGCATTTCGAAAGGCGCGAAAAAATGCTATGCAAATGACATAATGCAAAAAGAAAGCATAAACTTGTATGAAAGACTATCTGTAAATTCATTCATCTGAATAAGCATTGTTATTTCAATCAAATATTTGTTACGAATTTTTCATATAAATTCCCGATTGTATATATATATATATATATATATATTATTAAAACAAAACATAGAATTTAAAAAAAAAGCGAAAAGTACGCGTAAGTATAAAAGAAAATTTGTTGACAAATCATATTATTAAAATATTTTTTACTAAACTTCTCACGAGAATTTATAAATTGTTCGCTCTTATTGCCAATAAGGATTTACTATAAAAGATGTAAGTATGTAACACATATTTACTATATATATATAGTATGTAAATATATGTACAGCTTGTAATCAAACTTGCTTGTAATTTATTTATGGATTCAAATGACATACTGTTGCACTCTAAATAGTGATGCAATTAACATTTCCATTCCGCCGAGAGAATTTGTTATACATTCAACGCATGATGTTATCATAATCTGGTAATTAAGTAAATATGTAGCTGAATCTGTGTAAGCTATTCACTAAATTCAGCTAATTTATCAATTATAATATATCGCGGCAAATCATAATTTGTTTATAAAAATTATTACTAACTGTATAATCCTACAGAAAATAATTAATATATTTTTTAACTTTCGAAAAAGATCGTAAAAGAAATAGAAACAAAAATTTATATATTATTTAACTAAAGAAGCGCGATGTAGTAATATGGGTGAATCGATGTGATCCTTATACTGAATTTAAGTCAGAAATATTTTAAGAGTAAACAAGAGTACTTACATTTATGAGCAATCTAAGATAATGAAATAAGAAAGATTAGATACTTTCGATGAATAATCGCCTTTTCAAATAGCGCTCAAAAATATTCATGATTATCATTTTTTAACAATATATTTTTTTAATAATATTTTTTAATTAATTTTTTTAATAATATATGTAATAAAGTATTATTTAATAATATATGTAATGAAGAATTATTTTGATTTGAAAATGCAATGCGAATCTCTCGATATAATGATAAACGATATCATGTATTATGACGAATATTATATGAAAATTAATTGAAAACATATTATCATGCTCCCTTTCAATTAATCCGGAAACGTCATCTTGTCAAACGAAGCAACGCATAGTACAATAACAACACGCGATCGAGATTTATTGACGAATAACGTGGTCGGGGCAAAATTAGCGTTTTCGATGCTCGGGACTAAACGGCCGAAGGGTTGTAAGCTGGTATGCAGATGAGCCGACATGGCCGACCCCGGAGGCGGATGTTGGCAGTCTGCAGCTACGTAGACAATAGGCCAGTACCATTATGTCCATCGAATCCTAAAACCCTATAGAGTCGTTCTTCTCTGTCTATTATCCCGCTGGTGGCAGGCCACATTGTGTAACTGGCCTGCCACGGGACCTCGGGCATTGTCGGTCCACCTAATTATTCGCAAATCTTCCGCTCGTTGCCGGCAACTCCCCCCATCCTCTAATTCGCGAAATTCCATCGCTCCTCTAAAGCTTCTGGATTCGGTCGTGATTTACGCGATTTCTCAACCCCTCATCTCCCTCTCTTTTTCCTATCTCAATCAGATGTTCGCGATATTGAATATTTAATGATTGATATAATACTTTCGCATGCGTACTTAATTTTGTTTAATTGTAATAGAATTGTTCCTATAAACATATAACACGGGACTCGCATGGAAGAGGTGATTTTAGGATCTACATATCAGTGTCGTACGAAGTATAATATTTAATCGGAATTAATTCAGTAGTAAATAATGTATTAATAGCTTCTCTCAAATTAGAGCCTTTGAAAGGGGAATTGTATTTTCTTAAATTATTCTAATTTTGCAAATTATTTAATTCCCTAAATATGTTAAAACAAATAAGATAATTGAATTGTTAGAATTTATATTATTAGAAAATGTAAGAATAATATAATTTTGACGAATATTATTGTCTTGTGCTTGTGAATAAACTGCAAATTTAATGTTGAAAAGTAAATAGCGGAAATTCAGAATTGTATGTACATATTAAAATTTTATATATAACTTGGTAGTTGTATATTATATAACTTGGTAGTTATATATTAACTTCGTTCGGGAATTTTTTACTTTCAATGCACTTATTATTAGATATATATATTAGATTCTTTTACTATAGTCATACCATCTTCCTACATATTTAAAATAAAAACTTACCTCAGGATCATTTGATTCCGCTCTCTTATATGTAAACAATGGAGCCAACTTGTCGTAGAGGTTTACGCGTTCATGAAGATTTTTGAAGGGGTTTTTAGTACTAAAAAAGTCGAGATCAATGTCCAAGATGTACGGAGTATCCTTTTCCGGTAGATATTGACGTAACATCGAGCTGACGGATGTAAAGTCATCTTTCTGTAACATAAATATCAGACAAACTGTATTATATGTCAATTTTTTTATATATATTTTCTTAAATAATAAAACATTTCAACATTAAAAAGATTTCATTAGTATTATATTTTAATTCTTAAAAGAATTTCTAAATAAATAAGATTTTCGTAAATTAATTTTCTAATAATTGTGTCTTTACTTTAATTTTTCTTTAATTTTTAAAAAATTTTTATGTATCAAATACTTTACATAATTAATAATCGTGCGGGAAGAAGAAAAGATGCAAAAGAGGGATGCAGTTTCACAATATTAATATTTTCTATATTTTTTCATTATTGACAGTCGCACTATTTTGGCAATTTGCCACTGAAAAAACCGAAATTATTCACTGGAAGATATCGCGTGATGAAACATGAGCAGTCAGATCCGCGAATTAGCGACGCTATATTACTCAATCCTTTTTTTTTTTTTACGCTGCGCGCTGGCAAAACGTTGACGATAATTACCAATAAAATGATCGATTGCCGAAGTTATATCGAATTCACGGCCTGTTCGGTCCAATTTCCAAACGAGATTTCACCAACCATAGGAATACACGAGACGCTCGACGACGTGCGCAACCGTTCGTATGAACCGGATATTGTTCATAGCGGGGCAAAACGTGATGCTGCCCGCGTATAGAGGGTTTTTTGTGACGCACAAAAAACAATGACTGCACTCGAATTAATTCTGTTAGAATTGATACTCGGCCCCGGCACTGGGATCGCAATTTGCATGCGTTCACAACAATGAAATACAACAGCGCGCGCGGGGTGAGCTGTAATACTATCGCGAGCCGGAGGAGGGGAGGGGGAGAAAGGGGGAGAAAAACGGTAGGAGGAGAAAAGCAAAGCCAACAATCACCCTGAGCAGTGGCTCTCAAAGCTTTTAACGGTTTTGATGCAACAAGGCAATTTTGAAGAATGTTTTTTTAAACTGAGTGAATGCAAAAAGCATCAATTTTTAAAGCACAAAAAAATATGTAATACTATGAAAACCCGAGATATTTCAATCAAAATTAACAGAACAATTATAATTAATTATACATAACATTTCAGCGTACAGAATCCCAAATTTTGTTAATTTATCCACAAAATGAAATGTCAAAGGATCTTTTATATTTTAGATTTTAGAAAATTAGGAGAATTGCAAAATTCATATACACACAAACTGTTTGAATAAGAAAGAAAGGTTTATCTTATTCTGAGAAGAATTTATTACGCTACTGAAGTTTCGATCGGACATACAGATAAAGATATTTTTTGATTGAATATATTGAGTACAAGCTGCTTGAGTCACGAATAATTACGTAGCTCGAATGCAGCTGCGGAATTTTCTGAAGCGCAGCGATTAATTTTTTATGCTCTCAATCTGCCACGTCGGTTGATAAGAGAGCGTGCGTTTTGCGCAACCTTCGCATCACGCTCTGCAGATGTTCGGTCTTGGGTCTGATTTAATACGATCTCTTAACCAGATTGCTGCGGATATACAATCCAATGGATGATGATGTCAACAAAAGCAAAAGCTCATTAATGCGTTCTTGATTAGAATCTTTTGTGAGAAAATTTTTTCGAACAAATTTGCAAAGAATTCGAATTTATTTATTAGGTATTTACCAATCATTTTAAAATTATTAAAATTATTTTGCAGAATTATTTATGAAATTTTTTATTTATAAAATAATTTCATATATTTAATCTCAATTATATAATATATATGTTAACGTAACTATTATAAAATGTTTACAATTTCTAATACACATGTCTAGTACATATTTATAAATTATGCAAAACATTTTTTTATAATACGAAAAAGAGCTATATTTCATTTTTCCACAAGAAAAACACATTATATAATTATATTTTTGCAAATGTCACGCGTGCGCGAAGCTGCTTGAAATATTATACAAATAGACGAGTCACAGCAAGATACATAATCGCAGAAAGTTATCTGCGATTTATGCTCGAACAATTTTTTAATTGCATTCTTATCTCGCAACGAGCGAGGCTTATAAAGCGAGACCTATACGAACAAAGACATGCAATATTTGAGCCGAATGATTCATAAAGAAAATGTTGAATAATTCCTCGGACGAATCATCTTGTAAATTATATTTTGTGTGTGAAACAAAAAAACCGAATTGCTGCATGGCAATAATAATTATCAAAGATTTTTCTTGCGTCATATCATTTTCCAGTAATGTCTAATAGCTTTTCCTCTTCACTTCACTAATGCCTCGCGGGCAAGCATTAACATTTAAAGCTTCCTTCATGCAGTTTTCCATCATTACACACACAGAGTACGTGGCATGTGAACAAATTGCACATACATTAGGAACTTTTCACTCGATATTGTGACTAATATTTTCAAACGAAATATACCACATATATTTTATGAGGTATGATAATGTGAACATTTAACTGTGCAATTAAATCATCCTGTTAAGTATTTTCCTTGTCGAACACATTATTTTTTTTTCCTGATTATCTTCAGATTTGTAAATTGCCGATCCATGATATCATTAATTCATTTTTTTTCATACGCCTGCGACATATTTTTTTATTATTATGCGCAAAATAAATAATTATACGCACAATAATGCGTAAATATTCCATGAACGTATTGTCAATTATAATATATGGAAAATCGTGCAAAGCGAAATGTTATTGCGAGCTAAATTTAAATCTCGAAAGTCGGACGTTGCACTCGGCGTAAGTGCAAACACGATAATCCGTCGACTTCGATTTCGGCAGGTATTTTCGTCCGTGTAAATGCGTCGAAATTAGAACACAATCGCGAAAGTGCGCCACTTTTATAGATACGCATTAAATCTCAAATGAAAGATAGATGTTGAAATATTTACGAGTTATCTCTTAATTTTTATATACGTTAGAGAATTTTATTAATACCATAATATATTAATCCTACAAATCGTCACAAAATATATTATTTTTAATATAAAAATAATTAAATAAAACTAATTATATTAATCTTTAATGATAAAATAATTCTCGTTTTAATAATTTATAAGTTAAATATTAACTACATTCTTTAAAATATATTTAGAATCTTTCAAATTTTTAATATACGATTGCTTTATAAAATTATAATATAAGAGAAAATTCTGCTTTATTTATTCCATCACCTGTCTTACATGTTAAATCTCGCAGATTTAAAATTATAAAAAAGCATGTGTGTGTGTGTAAAATTTTTAGAGTTTCCTAAGAATACAAATTCTAACAAGCGTCTGCGCGCGTTTCAAAGGGTAGTCGTCGGATCTGCATCCTAACAAATGAATGTGCTTGAACAACGAGCAAACGAGTCTCGCGAAGAGCACGTGGCAGCTCGCAAAAGGCTTACGTCCCCATGTGTGCGTGCCATGCGGCCAGAGTTCGTCGGTCACACCACCGTCGTGGCCGCAATTAAGGCGAGCAATGCCACATGCAAATGGTCGCATTGTCTTGACCCAAAGTGGCGCGATCTCAGTCGGCTCATTGTTGCTTTCACGGACAGCTCGCACAACAGAGAAAGACAGAGAGAGAAAGAGAGAGAGCGTCGCAGCGTCGCAAAAATCGCAGCTCGCTCATTTGCGTCGACTGCACAATACACGCGCTGGACGGAAACGCAAACGATTTTCCATTAAATGGATTTCCATTCTCCCTCTGAGAAATTTGGATAATTGCGCCGAATAACTCAAGAATTAATCGAGACTCCGTGCAGATGTAAATCGAGCTCAAGACGATCGGAAAAATGTTCTAATTACGACTATTGACTCGATTTATGGTATTTCCAGAATTAATGAATCTATTATATTTGATCGTTCCCCTAATTAGAGTACTAATTTTTCGAATGGATTACGTTTATCGAGTTAAAAAGAATAAAAATTTTGTATTTCAGTTTTCTACAAGTTTTCTCTTTGGCGATATGAAAATATTTTTGTATAACTTTTTATATTAAATTGAGTTTACTTTTCCTTATAAAATTATGAAATTGCACAATATAAACTATGAAATATGCATGATACAAATCTGTAGCGACATAATAAAATATAATAATATATGAAGACATATAAATAAGAATTTAATAAAATGTTTAATCATGAACATTATATAAAAAGGTAAAATTTTGAATAGTTTTGAAATGTTTTCTATCTTTAATATGATTATATAATGCACTCAAAAGTAAAGCCAATAGTTATTTTCGATAAATAAGATGTGCTGAAGTAGTATCTCGCAATTTCATATAATTATGTCTATTTATCTATTCTTCAACAACCTCATTAGCAACCTCTTTTAGCATAATCGCAAAAACAGATTGAACTCGATACATCAAGAAAATAGCATCCGTAATGGCACGCTATCTCTGTTCTATTCTTCTTCTATTCTTCAATCCGATATGCAATCACTCGCGATGCGATGCAATGAGTGCGCATATAGCGAGGATTACGCAAGCGACAGAAGTAAATCTCCAAGATTTCATGCAAAAGTCACGTTTCCATGACGCCTCCCGCCCCGCAGCTCGGACTCGTGCGCGCCAATAATTAATTAATACACGTTACGCAATACGCGTGGGCGATGCCTACGCTCGGCGATGCTCGTTCCCGTTGAAATTGTTATTCGTTTTGATCATCTTTCGATCGCACGCGTAAAAATCCGCGACATATCTCGACACGAGTTGAAGATACTGTTCGCACGTTCGCTCATTATCGCGATCGGATGTGTCGATCATGATGCATTCTCGTACAAGGTGGATTAGTCTCACGGCATCATCCGGGAACGGCAGTCGGATAGCGTTAATTAAAACGATAATACCTCCCGACGCGTCGAGTCGCATCGCGAGAATTCGAATCTTGTTCCCTCTTTCATCTACGCCAAATGCCCTCTCGTAGATCAAGTGCGTTCGCCATTTGACGTGTAAATTAATCTTCATCTACTACGTTTCCCAAATCCCAAAATATGGTTAAATTTAAATTTTATCTCAAT